CCAGTGCTGCTGGTGGGATGGAGCTGGAGCTGCCAGAGATGGCATGGAATGGTTTGGGTTGGAAGGGACCTTAAAGCTCATCCAGTGCCACCCCCTGCCAGGGGCAGGGACACCTTCTACTATCCCAGGTTGCTCCAAGCCCCATCCGACCTGGCCTTGGACACTCCCAGAACACAGGACAGGTTTTGGATATTCTTCTCTCTAGATTCAGCCTTAGAGAGACTGAATAAGACCCTGTTCTGTGGGGAATGTGGGCAGGAATTGCCACCGTGGAGAGGCTCCTCAGGGATGTCTCTGGGTGGTGTCACTGCTATGTCTCCTGTCCAGGTCGCAGACAGTGACGATGACAATATCCCCCCTGAGTTCCTGGGTCAGACAGAGGAGTTCAATCCCCAGGGGCTGCAACTCAACAGGGTGGACGTCACCACGTACGGGGAGCTGAACCTCATCGCTGAGCCCCAGAAGGTGAGCTCTGGGAGGGCACTGGGGGCTGCTCCCAACACTCAGAAATTATTGAATTTCTAAAAATTAAAAGCTGTTTAAATTAAAAATTAAAAGTTAAAATTAGAAGTTTCTTCAAATTAAAAGATAGAACTAGAATCTAGTTGATTCTCTAATTCTGTCAGTTTCTTAAAATTAAATATTTCTTAAAATTAAACATTTCTTGAAAGTTGTCTCAGGATTAGAGATTCCGAGACAGCTTTCCCTGGTGCAGGATCTCCTGGGTTTGCTGCTGGATATTTTATTCCCAGCTGATCCTTCATGTAAGAGGAGGGAATTAAACACCAAAGGCCATTCCCAAGGGAACCGTGCCTTGGTTATCCCTGTGATCCCAATGATCTCCACTTACCCTGCCTGTCCTTCCCTCAGATCAATAAAATTGAAATTCAATATGCAAAGACTGCCAAGAAAATGGACATGAGGAGGCTGAAGGAAAACATGTGGCAGCTGTTGACTGATGGGCAGAAGAAAGGGACAGTGGGAGAGGTGAGTGCAGGAGGAGCTGGATTCCTCAGGAAGAGAGTGTCCTGAGGGAATTGTGCAGGTTTATCAGCAATCCCTTTCTTGTTCCCATGGGTTGGTGGTAAAGACAGACCAAGTGTGACTTGCAGGGGATTGTCTCTGGATTTTGGTGAGCAAAATTTGTCTCTGATTTTTGCTGAGTAGGTGGAAGATGCTGAGGAAGAGGACACGTCAGTGGTGGCAGGAGAGAAGAAGCTGAGCAACATCACAGAGGACCTGCTGCACAGGTAGAGACTCTAAACCAGTTTGGACTGAAGATAGGACAGACTTTAGTGAAGTCTGGGCAAGAACAGCCCCCTCTGTGTCTGTCTCAGCCCTTCCCTTGCTCCAGGTTTTCCTGGGGGAGCTGTGGGTTCATCCAGCTCAGCAGCGGAAGGGGAAAGTGGAAAAAAGCAGATCCCTGGGGAGGAGCTGATCTCTGTGCTCTGTCCATCCTAATCCTGGTCTCCCTTCCCTTCCATAGGCTTCCTGCTGCCATGGCAACCAACCTGTCCGTGCCTTTGGCCTTCATGTGCCTCCTGCACTTGGCAAACGAGAAGGTGAGTGCACACCTGGGCCAGGGCCACTTCCTGAATCAGGATTTCTGGACTTTTCCCATGCCCACAGTGGACACTGATGGGCTGGGAACACCAGCATTCCCAGCCAGTTGCTCTCAGTCCTTCCCTGTCCTTGGGTCTGGCAGCGCTTGGCTCCTCAGAGTTGTTCCAAGTGTTGTGAGTGTTCCGGGTTCCCAGTCATGGAATAGAATCCCAGAATTATTGAGGTTGGAAAAGACCTCCAAGATCATAGAGTCCAGTCTTTGACTGATCTCCACCATCCCAACCAGCCCAGAGCACTGAGTGCCACCACCAAGTGAGGTGTTCCTTTGACACCTCCAGGGATGGGGACTCCACCACCTCCCTGGGCAGCCCCTTCCAATGCCTGACAACCTGTTCCATGGAAAAATTTCAACCTGAACCTCCCCTGGCACAGCTTGAGGCCTTGTCCTCCTGTCCCTTGTTCCCTGGAGAAGAGTCCAACAGCCCTGGCCTTGCTGAGGAGGGGCTGGAGTTGTTCTGAACCTTCATCCTGTGGGGGTTTTATGCCTTCAGACTCCAAGGGGAACAGTCTGGCTTTGTCAAACTCAGCTTTCCCTTTGTATTCCCAGAATCTGAAGCTGGAGGGCACAGAGGACATGTCTGATGTCCTGGTGACACAAGACAACTGAGCCACATGTGGAGCAGTCCCTGGAATAACCCCAGGCCGGAGCTCAGTGTCCCAGCTCTGGACTCTCATCAGTGGCAGATGTTTCTCCTCCCAGCTGAGAAATCCCACTGGTCTCTGCACCTCAGGAAGACTTTTAAGTCAGGGATGTCCCACTTGACCACAGGACCTGCACAGATGGTCCTTGCTCAGCCTTCCTGGCTCCTGCCATCTCTGATCCTTCAGCTTTTCCTGGAATGGGTAGTGGAGTTCCTCTATTTCACTGTGAACCACCAGTGCCTGCAGCAACAAGCTCTTCTGTGTGTGTCCCAAAAGGTTCCTCTGTCTGTCTCAAAAGGTTCCTCTGTGTGTCCTTCCCTGTCTGTTATTCTCAGTTTTTGGACTATTACTCCTATCTCCAGTTCCTCCCACAGTCCTGTTCACCCCATGAAAGGATTTACCTTTTATACTGTGTTTAAAGATAATAAATTGCTCCACACTGTGCAGATGGGCCTTTGAAGGAGTCTCCAAACCAGAAGGGGTTAAAATAACACAGGAGGGTTGGGGGCAGAAGGGTTGGGGCAGCTCCCTAAAAAAGGGGGTCCAGGAGTCATTGGGATCATGTGGTTGGATCACCAGCCTCGACCCCTCCTCCAGTACCCAAACAATGGGAGCAGGACCAGCCTGGAGATGGTGACCAGGGTCAACCAAGAGCTGAGATCACCAGAGATGTTCCTGGTGCTGAGGCAGGTCCAGGATCAAGCTGGGAAGTCAGTCTGGAGGTCGTGTTTGGGTCCAGGTTCCACATGCCAGACTGGAGCTGGAGCTGCAGCTCCCTGCCAGCACCAAGGGCATCAACCCACAGGGGAAGGATTCATTCCAGCCCCAAAGCCCTGGAGATAAGGAACCCTCTCCCTGCAGCCAAAGTGATGCTGGTCTTGCCAGAGCTGCCAAATCTAGCACAGACCCAGCAGCTGGGCTTGCAGGTTTGGGCTATTTTCCCCTTCTCCTTTTCTCAGTTACCTTTTCCTCCTTCTACTTTTCCTATTCCTCCTTCTCCTTTTCCACATCCTTTTCCATTTCCTTTCCCTCCATCTCCTTCTCTGTTGTCTTTCCCTTTTCCTTCTTATCCTCCTCTTTTTCCTCCTCCTTTTCTTTTTCCATTTCCTTTTCCTCCATCTCCTCCCTCTCCTTTTCCATTTTCTCTCCCTTCATCTCCTTCTCCTCTTCCTCCATCTCCTTTTCCTTTTCTTCCTTCTCCTTTTTCCTCTTCCTCTTTCTCCTTTTCCTCCTCTTTAGGGATGGCAGCTGGCTCAGGGTTCCCCCCTGGCTGAGCCCCTACACCTTTCATTGCACCGATGGCTCCTCTCACTCCTGACACCTTCCAACCCCAACAATTCCCCTTTTCCTCCAACACCTCTTCCAGGATTAAAACCTAAAATCCCCCTGGGGAAGAAGATTTCGCTGGAGCTGCTGTTGGAGCGGAGCTCTGAGGGGGCTAGATCCCACTGAGAGGTGCTCAGCTCCACTTGGGACCCTGAAATACGATGTATTCCTGAAGTCCAGTGTAATCCTGAAATCCAATGTATTGCCAAAATCCAATCCATCCCAGAGCTGATGGAAAGTCCCTGCAGGCTGGACCCTGATCATGGGGAAACTGAAGCAGGGACACCCCTCAAATCCCCCTCCCTACATCTCTGGACACACCCCCTCCCATTCTGTCCAAATAAAAACCAGAGCTGGGAATAAAAACCCGAATAGGGTTTCTTTTGTTGTTTATTTTACGCATTTTTGTTAAATTCTGATATTTTTATGTAGAGGGCGGTAGCCTTCCTGGAATGAGAGGGTTTAATGTCATCTCGGATCCTTCACCCCCTTCCTGGCCCCGGAGGAGGGGACAGGAGCCAAATACTCCCCCTCCCCCAATTTCCCCCCGCTTCTGCTTTCTCTGCTTTTTGGCCCAAAATGAGTCACCGGGGGATTTTTTTTCTCTCATTTTTCGGGAGTCTTTCACAAGCCGAAAGGGGGGAGGGATTCTCGGGGGGCTGCAATGGGGCTGAGCACCCCTGGGTGCCCTCCAGCAGCCCCAGCTGGGGTTCCCAACGAGGGGACAAGGGACGACATCCCTGGAGGTGTCACCCACCGCCCGCGCGGCGCTGGGACCCCCCCAGGAAGGGGACCAAAGTGGCCACGTCCACGTCCAGTGACCGCGACGCAGCCGTGTCCCCAAACCCCGGGTGGCTCCGGGGGGGAGCCTGGGGCTGGAAAGTCCTGCCTAGTCATTCAGGGGGTGGCGCGGGGTGAGAGCCCCAAAAAGCGCGTCCGTTCCGGTAAGGAAAGAGTCAATGGCCCGCGCGGAGCCGCCTCAGCCCCGCGCACGCCACTTCCCCGAGCGGGGCTGACTCATCCCCGCGCTCCGTCCCGCTCCCGATACCGGCTCCCACCGCTCCATGAGCCACTCGACCTGAGCCCCTCCGTGAGTACCGGGGGTCCCGTAGGGGGTTGGGGGTTCCGGCATCCGCCACGAGCCACGTGTCACCCCGCTCCGCTGCCCGCTTCGCCCCATCCCGGCGGGGACCCACGAACTCGGCCGGGAATCCCAAAATCCCAAACCCCATAGAAGTGGGGTGCGCCCCAACTACGCGGGGAGACCCCAACCTGTGCTAACCCCCACCTGGGGCCGCCCCCACCTGCCCCAAAGCCCCTTTTCCAGCCTCTCCCACCGCGCCGGGTGTCAGAGGTTCTTCTCCCGGTGCCCGCGGGATGGGAAGGGATGACTTCACCCCATTACTCACTAGCCGTCACGATTTGGCTCCGCTCCCGCGCTATTCCCGGCTCAGCCCCGTGCTCCAACAGGGAATTCGGGCCTGGACAGCACGAGTTCGGGTAAATGGGGGGATTTCGGGAAGGAGAGGGAGCCCCAAAAGCGCTCCGGGGGGTTGCAGGGGTTCGGAGTGCGGCTGGATTTGGGATGAGTTTGGCCGCCGCGAAAGAGCCGCCGAAGCGCCGTTAACTGTCATTTTAATCAAATTAATGAGTAATTAGAGTCATCTCCACCCCATAACCCCCCCGGCTCAAGTAGGTCAGAGATGGTTCCCGCCAGCAGATGTTCATCCCCGAATCGGCCGTTTTTCGTCCCCAAACCCCCGACGTCCCCGCCGGCGGGGGGGAAATCGCGTCAGCGGTGCCGGGAACCGGCCGGGAACCGCCGGAATCACGGGGGGCACGAGAAGGGGGACATGTGTGAACATGTGTGGGCTTCACCTGTACTTGCACACGCGCGCGCGCACACACACACACAGAGGTGCCCACCAGCACCCACACATCACCTCCACGCAGAGGTGTGTCTCACTTCTAGCTCACCTGCACATTTATGTGCTCATCTGCACACACCTGTACTCACCTGTGCTCACATGCATGTTGGTACTTGTGTGCTCGTGTAAACACACCTGGGCACGTGTTCACTCATCTGCACATGGGGACACACATTGTGTACCCACCTGCACACACCCCCACCTGCACTCACCTGTGCTCGCCCGTGCTCACATGCACACACGTTGCTTCTATGCCCTCATAAACACACCTGGCCACGTGTGTTCACCCTGCATATGAGGACAGACATGTACCACTCACCTGTACTCATACACATGTTGGCAGCTCTATGCACGTGTAAACACGCCTGGGCACGTGTGTTCACCCTGCACACGAGGACACACATGTACACACCCACCCATGGCCGCGCAGACGCTGCCGCTTCCGGACTACAAGTTCCATCACTCCCCTCGCCGGGGACGGGGCCGCTCCTCCCGACCGCCCAATAGGCTAAGGGGGCCAGTTGGTCCCACCCAATGGGGACCGAGGGGGCGTGTTGGCCCCGCCCCTCGGGCGCGCCCCAGTCACGTGGTGCAGGCGCGGCGGGTGAGCGATCGGGGGCGGGGGGGGGGGCGACGGGGACACGAGGGGGTCCCGTGGGAAGGGGCGGGTCAGAGGGGGGTTGGATCCCCCCCCCAACCGGGCCTCATTTACCTCAGGTTGGCAGCGCCTTTTTTTTGCCGTTTTTCCATGGGTTTTACCCCAAAAAAGTGGGCGGGGGGGACGATTGGGGGGGTACCGAGGCCTGAATTGGGGGGGGGAGTCAGCGAGCAGCTTCAGGCCCCACGAGTGGCCGATTTCGGGTGACGCCGTGACCCGAATCATCCCGATTTCCCCTTAATTTTATGGGAGCAGCAACAATTTGGGGGTCTCACCTCCCCTTCCCCCTCCTTTTTTTCCTCCTTTTCAGGACCCCTTCCTAAAGCAACAGTTTGGGGTCTCTCACTCCCGCACCCCGTTTTTTTCCCCTCAGGACCCTCCTAAGCCCAAAGCCAACGACTCCCCTCCATGGAGAACAACCAACCAGGGCAACAAGACTCCCAAGAAGCCACCACCAGCAATCCTACCGTGAGTTCACCCCGGGATTTTAAGGGGGGTGCTGAACCCTCCCAAATTTGGTGGGGGAGCGAGGGCGAGCAGCACTTTGGCCACTAGTGAAAGAGAGGATGAGGAAAAGAATGGTAAAATTTCCAGCCTTGCGGGGGAAAACCAGACCTAAACCGGCATTTTATAGAGGAAAAATGAGCTGTCCCGTATAAATAATACTTTTTATAATTAGTTTTTTTCCTGAAGAGGAAACAGCATTTAGATTTTGTGGCACTGGATCCCCCTCTCTCCTCAGCGGCTTTTTCTTCCACCCCCCAAAAAAAGCACCTCAAAATAGTTGAGCTGTTAAAACCCAGCATCTGTCACAAGAGTTTAAATGAATTGAGAGAAGAATCACCAACAAAAAAAACCCTAAAAAAGAATCAAAGGCCGGACTTGGGAGCCAAGCAGCTGCTTTGCCCAAAAATAGCAACAAGTTTTATAACTCCGGAAAATGTAGAACAAACAAACGGAGCACATTTTTAGCTGAGAAAGGCGGTGGCAGCGGCGGTGGGAGGGGGGAGGAGGAATTCCTGCCCCTCTCTTTTCCTGGAAGCTGTTCCTCGTGTTCTTGCCTGGATGCAGAGCTTTGACCAACTTGGCCACCGTCCCGGGGTGACAAAAACGAGCCCAGAGCTGCTTGAATCGCCAGGCAGGGGGCGGGGGAGCTGCTGCTCAGCCTCAGTTTCCCCAAATTTCCCCCATCCCGTGTCTCACAGGAGGATCTGGGTCCTGAGGATGGATCTGAGCGGGAGAAGCCAGTGGGGGAAGGGGAGAAGGAGAAGGAGAAGGAGGAGAAGGAGGAGGAGGAGGCTTTTCTGGTCAGTCTCTACAAGTTCATGAAGGACCGACACACCCCCATTGAGAGGATCCCCCACCTCGGCTTCAAGCAGAGTATGGACCCCCCAAATTCCCTGGGGACAGGGAAACCCCCCATGTCTCCCTGACCCTTGGCCTCTCCTCTTTATTGCCAGTTAACCTCTGGAAGATCTACAAAGCTGTGGAGAAGTTGGGAGCCTATGAGCTGGTAAGTGGTGTCTGGAGGTGCTGGTGTCCAGTGGGTGTCGGGGTGTCCCCTGACTGTAGGAGTGTCCCCTGGGTGCCAGGATGTCCCCGGGTGTCAGGATGTCTCCTGGGCATTGGGATGTCCCCTGGGTGCTGGGATGTCCTATGCACACCACAATGTCATGTGCACACTGGGCTGTCCCCTGGGTACGGGGCTGTCCCCTGAGCACCCAGTCTCACCCCTCCCTCCCCGTGCAGGTGACAGGGCGCCGGCTCTGGAAGAACGTGTACGACGAGCTCGGAGGGAGCCCCGGCAGCACCAGTGCTGCCACCTGCACCCGGCGCCACTACGAGAGGTGGGCACACAAGGGGGATTGGGGGGTGTCTATCCCTTCCTGGGCCTCAGCTCTCCCTCTCAGGGCCAGTTCTCACTGTGCCCCTCCCCTCCCTCCACAGGCTGGTCCTTCCCTACGTGCGGCACCTCAAGGGGGAGGAGGACAAGCCGCTGCCCCCCAGCAAACCCCGCAAGCAGTACAAGGGCTCCAAGGATGACAAGAGCAAGAGGGCCAGGAAGGAGAAGGGCAGGGAGCAGGTGTGTGGCTCCTCTGGAAGTTTTGGGAACAGCCTCGGACCCCTGTGTCCATCCCTAACGGAAGAGCAAGGAGGGATGTGGATCACTGGGAAGAGGGAGTGGAGGGTGGTTGGAAAAAGGGAGTGGAAAAGGGGGAATGAAGTTGGGGGATCCAGGAGCCCATCCCAGGATGCAGCACCCACCTCCCAATAACCCCCTCTGCCTGCAGATGCCTCTGGACAAGGTGAAACCGGAGGTGGCAGCTGGCACAGAGGACACCCGGGACATCCCAGAGCAGGGCCGGGTGGCCAAGGGATCCATCCCAGCAATGCCACCCCACTGCTCCAGCTCGGCAATCCCAACCCCCAGCCCCTCGGGGGGGTGTCCCAGCCCCTGCCAGACCCATAGCGAGACCTACAAGTGCCTTTTCTCCAGCTTCTACTCCAAAGGGAACCACCCCATCATGTCCCCGCTAGCCAAGAAGAAGCTGCTGGCCCAGGTGAGCGAGGCTGAGTCCCGGCACTGCCACAAACGCCACTGCCCCGAGGGCCGGTGGGCACCAAGCGCTGCCACCACTGGCCACAATCCGCCCCGGCTGGCCCCCAAGAGCAGCCCGGAGCCCTCGGGAGCTCAGGATACAGTTCCAAGCATCAGGAATGAGGTGGGACCTTCCACCAGTGCATCCCCCAGGGGCACAGACACCCAGGGGTGCCCCCGGGCCGAGAATGGGGGTCCGGCACCTGCTGTGTTCACCGGCTACTTCCACGCCTACCGCAGCGAGGGGCTCCCGCCCAGTGCCCCCCATCCACTCTGGGGGTACTTCTCCAACCTGAAGGATTTTTTGGAGCCGCCTCCTGCCTTCCCGGAGCCGGAGCAGCCCCAGGACCTGCGGAGCAAAGCGTGGGAGAGCCAGGGGGCCGCCGTGCAGGCCTGGGTGCCCCCCAGAGCTGGACCCGCTGCCAGGGCCAGACATGGCCATGAGGAGGAGGAAGAGGATGACGAGGAGCCCTTTGGCCCCAAATTCGGCGCCGTGTCCCCCTTCCCCAGGGAGGCTGAGGGCAGGGACATGGGCTCTAGCCCCCAGGGGGGCCACTGCGGGCTGGCCAAGCCCAAGGCCGTGGTGGCCAGTCCCAGCTTTGCTGCACTGCACTTCCCGCCAAGCTTTGGGAGCCCCCTGGAGCACCTCAAAACCCAGGGCGTGCCTGTGGCCCCCACGCTCTCCGCCAACCCCTTTGTCATCCCGGCCTTTCCCAGCCCCTTGGTGATGGGCTCCACGCAGCCCCCGGAGCTGTGCCGGCCACTGGGCACCGGCCCCGGGCACTACCCCAATTCTTACAGGAATTCCCTGCGCCACCAGTCCTACCCATGGCACAGCCACCATTCCTATGGCTCCCAGCACGTGCCAGCCTTCCACCGCCACACCAAGCTGTAGGAATTCCATCCCAGCCAGCAGCATTCCCTGTGGAGGAGGGGGAGGCCAGGATGCCCCACTGGGAAGTGCTGGGGCCATCACCGCTCCAGGGCTGAGAGGGGACAATCTGGACCGAGTCATTTTTACTCTTTACTCTTGGTCTTGAGCTGTTTGTATCCAACCTTGTTATGGTGGTGACTTAATTACATATCACATAGTTCTATATATATTTTATATACACACCTATAAAAAGGGAGCAAAACGAGTGCTGGAGGTTTGTGTTTTGCCGGGGCTGAGCTGGTTGATAGTCATTCTCATCCCTCCTTGCCTGGATTTTTGGAGACTCCCCAGGCCCCCCCACCCCATGTAATTTGGAGGTTTAATCGTTGCCTCTATCCAGGGCTCCAGAGGGTTTTCAGGGTTTGGGTGTCTGCCTGGAAAACGCTCCAGACCTGGCGAAGCTGGGCCTGGAATAAACCTGCCTAGATGGCCTGAACCTGGTGGTGTTTGGGCTGTCCTGGATTTCTGTGATCAGGGCAGGGTTGGGGGGGATCCTCACCCTGAACATGGAGCCCCAGAGCTGAGACCTCCCTCCAAAAGGAGATGCTTTTCCACAGCAGTTTTGGGGGAATCAGAGCTGTTCCGTGGAGCAGCCGTATGTCCGAGTGGGAACCAGCCACGCTTCTTCCAGCTTTTTCTCCAGGTGCTTTTTGTTTCCAGGAGCTCCAGTTGAGCTGCTGCAAATGATCCAAAGGCTTTGTCAGAGCTACAGCACTCACATCAGCTGCTCCCCATCTGCAGGGACAGCGGGAAGGGCAGAGGGATGGTGACACTTCCTTGGCCCTGGAGATTGTTCTGGCTTGGTGCAGGAGCAAGAAATCAGCTTGGAAAGACCACACTGCTGCATCCATGGAAAGGCCAAGTTTTGGGACAAAAATTGGGAATTGTTCCCAGGCAGCACTGATCACTCCATGATGTTGGAGGCTCTTTGGGAAGAGCACCATGGACTCAAGTACTCCTGGATCCTCCATGGGAAGTTTTACACACCCCAGTTTGGGAGCAAGGATATGGCCACAGGGCTCCAGTTGTCCTACCAAGAGCTTGTCACACCTGGGAGTGTGGCCACCGGAGATACCAGATCCCTAAGAACGTCTCAGCCTTAGAAACTGTGGCTTCAGGCCTGGAAAAAAGTTGAGGTGCTTGAAACCACAGCAGGGACAGCAAACCCTTGTTGTGTTTGTGGGGATGCCAGAGAAGATCAAAGCTCATCCCAGATGTTTTCACCATCAGCTTGGAGAGAAGGTTCCATGT